AGTGCCTGACATGACCTGGGTAAATTTATGGAAATTATGTCACTTCATTCTCACAAACACTCTGGGTCCAAAGTTATATTATATTCACTTTACAGGTGAAAACACTTTACAGACTTGGAGAAAAAGTAGTTTCCCCAAAGTTCCACAGTGAGTTGGAAGCAGAAGCAGGATTTCAATATTCCTCCATTGTCCTTCCACCACATTGTGTGGTTACAACTCAATGAGACAAATAAAGGCTTGGGTGAAAGAGGAAGTGGGAACACTTGGTTTTGCTGCCTCTGTGAAAATGAGTATGTGACTCAGAGACTTCAGACAGTGGGACCTAGTGGTTTGGGTTGTCAAAGTTGGTAAATATTTTGGCTACTGAATTCAGGTTGCTAATTCAACAAAAGATGCTTGCTGTCAACCAAAAACTGGGATAAACTCTGTTTTGAGTTTGTATATAGACATGCAAGGGTAGACATGGAAGGCTCTCTGGTTGATTTTCACAGGAAACCAAGTACAGTTGAATCTCATTTATTTGGAAATTATATTATAAACTCCTACATCTAGCACTCATCGAAGAATCAACAAATCAGTAAAACTTTATGAATGCTCAAATGGATATCATAAACAATAAATAATAAATCTCATGCATTGTGCTTTTTATTCCATTCAAGATGTCCTCAAGCCCTCAACCTATTCATGATTGCGTATCTGATGTCAAATCTAGTTGGAGGATAAAAGTAATGTCTGTCAAGAAAGGATTAGACAAAAATGGAAAAAAGCAGCTTCAGTTCTCAGCATCAGTTCCAATAGGGGTCAAAGACCCTGTGTGGATCCTGGAAATTACCCTTGTAATGTGCCCATGCAAGAAAGTGGATTTTTTTGGTGTTGACCCAGAGTCACCAGTATAAGATTAAACTAATTTCAGGCTACTTTTCTATGTACGTAGGGGGCATATAGTACATTAATTATACAGTCAGTCGTCTAAGATAACTAACATGAAAACGGTGCCATTGCTTCAAAGGATAAGTCAGCCATCTGGAAAACTTATTAATTATACAAAGTGATGTATACTCAGAAGATTTTAGATAATCTGGTGCCTTATTTATTTATGAAATCCAACTTCTAACTACACCTTTCATTGGAATGGGGCAGGGGGCCCAGGAGTAATGTCCTCCTGTTGGCCCAGAGGAGAGAGGGAAGAAACTCCACCATCCAGGGATCCACCATGCCTCCTCACTCTGGCTTCACACTTGAGTTGTGTTGTTCTGGGGTGGGGGAATCTCCTAATGGGTCCATATTCTCTCTCCTAATCTTAGATCCATGGACTTGGGAAGTGGGGACAAAGGCTTTTGCCCATGGCTGTTTGGAGGTGGTATACTCTTCCCCTCAACACACCCACACAGACACTCATATTTTGTACCACGTCCTCATTGTGAATGTCACAACAGTAACTAAAAATAATTTTGAAGTGTGTGTTAAGTAATCATACTGACAGCCTTTTGTTTTACTTCCTTATTCTTGCCCTATTCCAATTGTGCTAAAAGTACCAAAGTGTCTGATAAAAATTCAAAAGAAGCTTGACATGCAAGGGAGAAAAAAAAATAAAAGGAAGGGGCTCAGATAATTTGCACAATAGATAATGAGTCTTTACATGATTGAGTCAAACGTACTGCTGCTTAGTCGAAGTTTGAAATGTTAAATCAATTGTTTTTTTCTCTCTCTCAGTAAGAGAAATGCTGACCCTGAGTTTCACAAAGCTGTTAAATGTTTTTTTTTTTTTCCCAGAAGTTGCAAGTGCAGACCTAAGAAATAGGTTTGCTGCGTGTGGGCTGATTGTGACCTTAACTTGTCAGTGGCATAGGAAGACTCATGCCGCTTCTACTATTGACAAGAGGATGCCACTGTTGTCCAATCAAGAGAAACCACCATTCCCTAATGATAGTACAGATCTCAGTAAGATATTTGCAAGCACTCATAAAGATGTTACCTAAATACAGTTTGTGTTGTCAGAGTTTTAACTTCTTTTATGCCCTGGACACCTTTGGTAGTCTTAGGAAGCCTATGGACCCCTTTTCAGAATAATGTTCTGAAATGTATAAAGCAAAATGCAAAGTACTACAAGGAAACCAAATATATAAAAATATAATTATAAAAAATTTGTGATAGAGAAATAATGTGTTTTTTAAATATATTAATTAACGTAATCTAGCAGCAGCAGGTGCAGTGACATTTGAAGGTGATGGTAAGTGTAAGTGATATTTCCGGATAGCTGCAACAACACAAATGGGAGACGAGCGTACCTGGGATTTCTATGGGGAACAAATTCACAGATACTGCTAAATACTTCCGTGGTTTGTTGCCAATATTTGTATTTGAAGGAAATGTTAAATTTCAGTTAGAGATCAGTGCAAATGAAGATAAGCTTTCCCCCATCTAAGTGTACAGACTCCCTGAATTCTGTCCGCAGGTCCCCTGGAGTGTTCATGAGCCCTAAATTAAGAACCCCTGGCATACATAAATCATTTTCATAGGTTTATGAGCATGGTTGAGATAAATTAAATTTCTTCAAATACACATTTGTGTATAATTCCAAATGCAGTAATGAACATTTCTATTTTTAATTCTCAAGTGGAAATGTCATTCCTTCATTTGTTCATTCATATTCTTACTTAGAATCTGCCTTGTTTGTGAAAGGATTTAAGGCAAGTTGCATAAACGCATACAGCAAAATAGAATGAAATTGCAAGAAGGAACAGAAGAAAAGGTTATTGTGAAAAGTAAGAGGTGTCTTTGAGTGAAGTTAATACACAAAGTGTATATGGGAAGGCACTAGATCTTTACTAGAGTACAATGACATATTGATTCTAAGTTTTATGATATGCAATGCAAAGGGTAAGAAACAGTTATAGATTCATGACCACATCTCCTGTAAAATCAAATGAGATGCCCAACTTTTTGTCTACTGAAACTAGAGAGAAATTTCTTCCATAGACCTTACCTCATAATGACTGTCTTGGTCAGCTCAAGCTGCTATAGCAAAACACCATTGAGTGGGTTTCTTAAACAACAGAAATTTATTTCTCACAGTTTTGGAGGTTGGAAGTTCTCGATCAGGGTGCCAAGATGGTCGGGTTCTGGTGAGACCTGTCTTTCCAGCTTGCATACGGCCATACTCCTCCTGTGTCTTCACAGGGAGAGGGGAAAGTGCTCTCTCTTTCTCTCTCATCTCTAACTCTCTAAGGGCACTAAAACCATCATGAGGTCCCCACCTGGTGGCCCAATTACCTCTGAGAGGCCTACTTCGAAATACCTTCCTATTGGGGGGCTAGAGCTTTAACCTATGAATTTGGGGGGCAACCCAATTCAGTCCATAGTAATGATACACTGTAATGAAATTAACGGTACGTTTAAAAGCTTCCTTTGTTTCATTGGGCTATGTCTTATAATTTCTCAGTGTAATCAGTGACATATGTTTTTGCTGGCCCAGCTTAATATAGAAATGGGTTTAAAATTATGTAGTGTAATTTTAAAAACCCTTTTGGAGGTATAAAGTATTGTTTCTTTTTTTTAGTACCGCCTCGTTGGAGGTACTTACTCTCGAAATGTAAACTAGTGATTATTAATTTTTACATGTCATGGACCAATTTGAGACTCTGATGAAAGCTATAAATGCAGACACACATTAAATTCTGCATATAATTTTAGGGAATCACAGATCTCTTGAAGTCTCAGCACTCTGAGTAGTAAATAACTCTGGGATATAGAGTAATGGATATGCCTTTAAACATATTATGTAAGTATTGCTTATTGTAACTGAGGGTTTGACACGGACTGAGAGCCAGCCAGTTGGATTTAATGCTCCTGGCAAGCATGGGAATACAGCTATTCTATGCCTGAAATTAAACAAATGCTTTACTAGCTTGGAGAACAGGAAATCTTCAGGCATATTTAACAACATACAATGCTAATATTTCAAGGTTGGAGGGGTGCCTGGATCATACAGCCTCAAATCTTGTGCCTGAAATTCTCATGCCCCTTGGAGAACATCACAAATCTCTGACTACCACTATTGCAAGGCCCCAGGAGATGACCACAACAATGTGGGCACAGCCCCTAGACCCACCCCCACCCCAACCTCCTCCACCCCCACCCCATCCTTTGCCATAGTCCAGCTGAGACCAAGCAGTCATGTGAGGAATTGGATAGCCAGGGTGGAACCAGACTTTGTGGGGCCTGAAGCTTATACAATTTGGAGAGTCTTCTTAGGGAAAATAATACAAAATTATAAAGAGAGTGTTGCAAGAAACTCAATATTTAGAAGACATGACAGAAATGAGAATAAATCTCAAATTTTAAAAAACTGACAAAATACCAAAAGCAGCACATTATCCAGAAAAATAAGATAATTTTAAAATTAACTGCCTGACATATCTCTAAAATACATTCCCCTACATTTTTAGCTGTGTGATTTTTGGTTGCCCCTTCCTATGACAGTGATTTTGTAAAGTCATTTTGTCTAGAGAACATAGAAAGATAATCCCATCTTTCACCTAGCATAAGTTGATCAGAATTGTTTTTTTGTTTTTATTGATTGTTTAGAAAAACTTCTTCTGGCTTCCTAGTTGATTACTGGTAATGTAAGTTCTTAGGATTTCTCTCTCATGTTTCTTTACATTTGAAGGAATTCCCCATAAACTTGTTTCTGGTTCTGTGCATTAGAAGCCTTATTTTCCTCTACTGCCCATTGACACAGGGAGATACAGGACTTGTTCATATTGAAATATGACCTCTGGCCTGAGCCAGCATGTCACCAGGTGAATTGGCCAGTGGGAATTAGAATGTTACTGGAAGTTAGTACTATATTTGAACAGCTAGCAAGGAAGAGAGTGTGAGCAACATAAGTATATCCCATTAATTACAAAATGAGTACACCCATTTCCAGAGATGCCTGCTCTCAGAACTGGTAGGCCAGCTCACCCTCATGTGATTTTTTTTGCTTTCCTCTTTCCCAGCACACTCCAAGGACTGCCTCCATGAAGCTGCAGCCATCTTCATAACATCTTCACAGAAAAGAAACTTCTGGTAAGATTCCCTAGAGTAGGGGCACCTGGCTGGCTCAGTCAGTTAAACATCTGCCTTCGGCTCACGTCATGATCTCAGGGCCCTGGATGGAGCCCCGAGCTGGGCTCCCTGCTCAGCAGGAAGTCTGCTTCTTCCTCTCCCTGTGCCTCTACCCACGTTGTGCTCTCTCTCTCTCTCTCTCAAATAAATAAATAAATAAAATCTTAAAAAAAAAAAAAGATTCCCTTAAAGTCTAGGCTCAAGAGAGCAAGGCCAAGGTAGAATGAAGAGGGAATTTTTTCCTACCATGTCTCAGAGTCCAAATCTTTCCAAGTTCTTTGACACTGGGAACATAGACTGTCTTCTGGAAAGACCCCGTTCCCAATTGCAGGAGTATGATCTTACCATAGGTTCTAATAAGACAAATATCTCAGAACATACCAGCCTAAAATCAGCATGAGAAAAGGCCACTTGGAACAGTTTGGGATCCATTTCCATTCACAGATACAAGGGTATTTAAGGCCATAGACACATGGACCACAATATGACTACAGTGATTTTTATGTTGGAAAATTTAAACCTGATAGAACCATATGCTCGTTTCAACTATGAAACTCAGTACAGCACACATGGAATATTTTAAATGATTAATATAACTTTCTGGCAAATGCCCCAGGATAACTGGCTGCAAAATATATGCTTTGGAAAGTGGCTGAGTTAACTTATTTTATACATTTATTGATTAAAAGCCAGTTAAATGTGTAGCTAAGTCTAACAAAGATATTCACTTTGGGTTTAGAATAGTTGGTTAACAGCTCTTCTTTTCAGGGTTCGAGTATCAAGGCAACTTCTCCATTAAGGCCACTCCTAGCTGGTAACAATAAAAGCTATTATTTTTTAATATAAGAATTCTAATTTTATTACCTATGGAAGGGGAGTGTCTATTGATTTCATCTAAAAGCAGAGTAAATTGCTGAGGCATATGAAATGTCTGCTTCTTTAAGCCAACGGGAAGCATGGTGTTTACTTGTTTGAATATATTTTGGATGGGAAGTATCTACTTCACTTGTTTGTTAAAGAAAAAACAATCCATTTCTCTCAATGTCTGAACTCAAATAAAAATAAAAATGCTCAGAGGCGTAGAATAAGTGCGAATATTGTTGGTATAATGGTTTAACCTAAAATTTCCTCTTTTCTGGTCTTTACCCACAAAGAGGCCAAATCTGTCTTTTATTTCTAATGGAGATGGGCAGCAGCTGTCCTTTCCTTCTGGGAGGAGATGCAAAACACATAGTAGTGGGAAAAATTTCCTCCTTTGTTCCTGAGGTCTTAGAAAATGAGCGTTAAGATGGTGGACTAGAGGTGGTAATATGTCCACATTAGCCTCAGTTGGCTTATAACAGTTCTAAAAATGGGTTTTCATTGTCTATGTACTACCCCAATGATGGACTTTATAAGTTAGTCAGGCATAGAATGTGTGAATTTCAGAAAAATAAATCAGAAGGGTATCGATTCACAATTTCAAAAGCTTTTTTTTTTTAAAGTCATAGCACCCTTTCTCTGAATGCAAGTATGCCCTGCATCCACGGTAAAACCAACAAGTGCATATACGCCTGTCCCACCCAGGCACTCAGCAGCCCTTCCCTGGGCTCTTCCTCTGCCCTCGCAGAACTGACACATGGTTGGGCATAGAGCAGGTACCTGACTTCATGAAGCCCCTTGCTGGGACTGACTGTTCAGGGTTTTGGGAAGCTAATCCTTGACAACAGCATTTTAAGTCATGGATGATTCACAACCTTTCTGTGAAGGAAATAACAGTATTTGCTGAGAGCTTCTGGGCGAAATACCCCAACCAATAGAAATATTGGTGTTCTTTCTTCCTTTGATATCATGTGTATGTGTGTGTGTGTGTGTGTGTGTGTGTGAGAGAGAGAGAGAGAGAGAGAGAGAGAAAAGATGGAGAGAGAGAAAGGGGAAACGCTGAAGCTGGTAATCTAAGTAGGAGTTGCTCATGTTCCACTGAAAGAAGAGGTCCTTAACAGTATTTCATTTTTTAAAAAGATTTTATTTATTTATTTGAGAGAGAGAGCATGAGCGGAGGGGCAGAGGGAGAAGTAGACTCCCTGCTAAGCAGGGAGCCTGAGGTGGGGTTCGATCCCAGAACCTTGAGATCATGACCTGAGCCAAAGGCAGATGCTTAAGGACTGAGCCACTCAGGCACTCCCAGTATTTCATTTTTTAAAGGAAGGCTACTCTCCATTTCCTTTGCTTTCTTTTGAGTTTGCGTCATTTTTCAGTTGAGTTAACTGGGCATATTCCGAACAAAGAAAAGTGTCCTCTTGATTTGAGAGTCTATAATTGATTATATAATAACTCATGAAGTGTTTTGGAAGTTAAAGTTAAGATGCTGGTTTAAATTTAGCCTGAGCAATTATGGAGAAGTTTTCTACAACCCAATTCTAAAAAGACACTTGGGGGACAATTTGAAAAATCAAAGTGGTGTGTATATGAAATATCATCGTAATATATTTTTCTTATATGTCCTTACTTTTTTTAAGGATATTATTTTATGGTTCTCTAAAATTGAGCCAGATGATCTTAAATCTTCTGTTTTCCTATTAACAGTGAATTTGAGTCAAACAATCTTTTCATTTTGCCATTTATGCAGCTCTTTTCCCAAAATAACAGAAGCATTAAACAAGGAAATATTTGAGATTGCCCCAGTCATTGAGCCTTAAAAGTGTTACTGGTCTTGTTCTCAAAAGCACTTCTGTGCCTTATGTACTGGTTTTCAAACACCGAAAATGTACATGTGGACGTTCAGATTATTCGGCACCCTAGGACTTCCTGCTCAACAACTGAGATAAGAAAAGAATGCTCTTCAGAGCATTACAGTTCATTAGGATGCTGTCCAAAATCTCATACATGCCTGATGAAGTTAGCGGAATGTCAGGGCCTGTGCTGTGATTAAAGGTTCTAAATGTGAGTTGTCACGCAGCTCAAATATTAGCTATAATCCACATCCATGCAGAGCTCTAAGATTAGGCCTTGTAGACACAAAGCTATATATATAGAATACTCCTGCTTACATTACAAATTTTCCAAATGAATGGAAGAAAATGGAGCAGGAAATACACATTAAGAGTAGGTATCTCTGGACTTTGAGATGATGGGTGGTTTTTGTTTTACTAACTTCTCTATTGCATTTTTAAGTTTATAACAATGCAACTATGTATTTTTTTATATCAAAAGCTTTATTTCCAAGAAGTGGAATAGATGCTATGTTATTGGCAGAACCAACTTTGGAGTAAGGACATGGTGAACACAGGTCCTGAATAAAACCTGTTCCTTTCAGCACTGGCCTCTCTGGCGGTCAAGGTCCCGACAATAACACACCGTTGAAATTCTTCACTCCCGAGGCCTCCTTTCCTTCAGGTTCCTCGTCTTTCTTTTCTTTTTCTTAGTGCTTGCCTTCATCCTCATGAAATGTATACAGAGTTTGCTGTATATCAAGGATCAAAACATGGAAAACTCTGAGACTCATGCATTTTGCCTCCTTCACATAGCTAACAATTTTGGAATAATTTATAATTATTCAAATTATCCAAAATCATAGTGTTTTGAGCCGCGTCAGGGTGAGAGTCGGCCAACATGATCTGCGGTGTTAGGTTGCAGCCAACCCACCGCTAACGTGCACGGGCGTGTCAAAGTGGGTTGCCTCGCCGCTGGCAGAGCCAGACAGCGGTGCGTGAGCGGCTGAACTGCTTCGGGAAGGACTCAGGCAGAATCAGGTGCACCACAGGGGGTCCAGAGCCCTGGGGAAGAGGGGCGAAACTTCTCTGCAGTTACGGTTTAGACAATACACACTTGACGGAAGTCCGGGCCACCAAAAGGAGCTGGACTGAAGGGAGAGCCCTGGGAACGCTGGTTGAAGCAAGATTAGCGAGGAAGCCTGGCAGCGTGGGAGGAGGCATTGCTCTGGGAATGGACCCTCCCTGTTCTTACTCCTTTCCTTTCTTCTTCTAGAAGGAGTGTCTGTAGGTTTCGAAGGGAGAGAGCTCATCATGTGGTCAAAGAAAGAGTGCTCATCAAAGTAATGGTCAGAAACGTGTGTGTTGCGGAGCGGGGGCCGGGGGGGGGCGCTGGTGGAGGTTCGGGCCTCACAGGCTGCCAGTGTCAGCCAGAGCAGCAGATTTCATGGCAGAGGTCTTCACCTGTAAAATGGGAATAAAGACAGGACCCTCTTCATAGGGTTGCTGTGGAAACGAAATGATCAGTGCCTGTACAGCATTTAGCACAGGCCTTCACAAATCAAGTAATAATCAGAGCTCAATAAGTGTTGGCTATTGTTATCTTCATCATTGTTTCTGTGATCCCTTCTCTCTACTTATCTTCTACTTATTTTCAAGTGGTTATATAATTTGATTTTATGTGCTCCAATAAAATGAATTTTGGCTGTGTTTTTGTTTTTAAGCAGAGAAATTGCTTCTCGGGATGTATTTGAAAAGGGTTAGCTTAAACCTTAAGTAAATTGACCTCGAGCAAAGTTTTAAAAATAATTCTGGCATCTCAAAGTTGAATTTTTACCATATAAAAAAATTGAGCACTGATGTCATTTTTTGCTCTAGGAAGATCGTGAGAATAACTAATAACACTTGGTGGAGGTTAATACAGTGTTGAAAGTAGTAATTTTAACAATTTTGAACTCATTTTCAAAGACATAATTGGAATAATTTTCAAAAGACATCAGTCTTTATTTTTTTGGGAAGTTACAGTGATTAAATTAACTGCAGGCAGCCTCTTTTATTGTTATTTGATGATAATAGTCTGTTGATGAGGATTGGTGGGAAAAAAGGAATGATATGTGTTCTATTAAAGACTTCACAGCTGAAAAATTTTTCATCACTCTGGCCCAGGCAATTTATATGCTGAAGGCAGAGGTATCAAATGCAGCTTCATTTACTGTAGTTGGCCTGAAAATTAATCCAAATGAACAATGAGAATAATGCATTTCCTAGGAT